GATGAAGAAACCAGTCCATATAGGATGATAAAACATTGGTCAGCCCTATCAAGGAAACATCAGTTAAGAAGATCACAAAAGCGATGGAAAAATGTGCAGGTATCATAATTAGTTGCATATAATATATATATATATATATATATATATATATATATATATATATATATATATATATATATATATATATATATATATATATATATATATATATATATATATATATACACACACATAATATATATATAATATATATATATATATATATATATATATATATATATATATATATATATATATACACACACATATATATATCATGTTTTATCATTATTTATAGGATTTCGCTAAAAATGAAACAATTAATGTTAAAAGTGTGTGAATTTCTTCTAACAAGATGTGAAGGAAAAAATTAAAGTTGAAAATACGGACAGTGACTGCTGCTATTTGTTATGAGTCAAATTTAGGTCGAATGACTTATACTGAGCAGAGAAAAATGCTAAAAGCAAACAGTATAGATGTATTTCCAACCTGGAATGAAATTCAATTGTTCCGAAATTCTATCACTCCATTGACAACAAGTTATCTTCCAGATCCTTTTGTTGGTGTCTATGCAAGTTTTATTGAATCTACCCAGATTACTATTGAGAGAATTTTGAGGCTTGAAGATATTTCCGTTTCTAGTAGAGAAAACAGCCTTACACTAGAAGTAAAATTCGGCTACGATGGAAGTGGTGGACACAAAATTTACAACCAACTGCACAATGTTAACACAAGCAACATTATTATGGCAATGTTTTGTCCACTTAAAATTTTAAATTATGAAAGTATTACATTGTGGGAACAGCAATACCCTAACTCAGAGTCTACTCAAAGGCCACTTATGATTCAAATTATGAGAAAAAGTCAAATGAAAATATCCAATCTCTTTCTTTATTTAACGAAGACATACAGTGTATGAAGGAAGACGGAATTGTTGTTAAGAATAATCAAAATGATTACCATGTTAAAGTAAACATTGTCGCTCATAGTTTAGATAGAAAGGCTTCAAATATTTATCAAGACCTTGGAGGTTCATATTGTGATATTTGTGACCTTTCAAAAGTGAACAAATGTGAAAATATACAAACAGTTCAAGATGGTTTCATCATAAACAGGGATGTTAAATCCATGCAACAAATATTTTTTGACTAAGTAAATGAGGACGAGACCTTTTTGAAAAAAAAAGGATTACGAAATTCGACACGGTCAAACTACATGTCCAATTGCATGTTCAAACGTTAGGTCCATTCAGGTTTAAAATGATTTGCTCAGGAGCTTTGATCATTTTATGAAGGTAGTTGTTCACATGGCGGCAGGTGTCTTAACTTCGAAAGAATCTAAGTTAAACAATAACACAACATTGCTGAAAGAAGAAAAAGCAAGACTACAAGAAATTATCCAAGTTAAAACAGGAACAAAATGGGATTTTGCAGAATCAACCGGACAAAAGGGCAATGCAACAACTGGAAATGTTGCCAGAAAACTTTTACGCAATAAAGAAATGCGAAAGGTTATTACAGATCACATATCAAATCAAACTGACTGCAAACTAGTTGAAAAGTATGACTTGCTTCTTTCCACTATTCTGAGAGGAATGTCATCTGGCAAAAAAATTAATATTGAGCTATACAAACAAATGTGTCAGTAGCTAAACATCTTGCTTCTACAAGAATTTTATTGGGTAAGTATAACTCCAACGCTGCACAAAATTTTTGCTCATAGCTGGGAGTTGATAGAAATAAATGATTTCACCAGTTTAAAGTCTTGGAGTGAAGAAGGAATGGAAGCTAATAATAAGCGTCTAAATAAAAATTAATCAATTGGTCAATATAGAAGATTGCTTTAAAAGACTTTGGCTAGGGTCTGACCCATTAGTTGCAGAAGAACGGAGCAAAGGGCTGTTATTTTGAAAAAAACTGCTTAGATAGAGGGCATTCTAAACGCTCATGTATGCGCGGAAGTGCATCAGCTGATGATATTTTAAACAATAAAAAAATTTTGTTTGTAAATAAATTAATTTTGTGACATATGTGTATTTGTTAATTTTTCAAAACCAAGTTCTTAGACTTTAGATAGCAATTTTAAAACTCATTTTTTTTAAAAACCGCTAATGGGGCCAACTTAAACATAGCAGCAAATGAAAGCTTTTATTTTGAATTTCGGAAATCATATAAGGTTTAGTATGGCGCCATTAGTGGTTTTTGAGATATTCACTGAAATGTTCAAAAACTATAGCAAAGTCATGTGCAAAAATTCACAGTTTTTATATACATTTTATGAATTAAATTATCCAATTTTCTTTCTGAAATACTACTATTATTAGCCAGAAAAATATTTTTTTATGCTCTTTATTCTATATTGTTAAATAATAATTTTCCAAGTTTTAGATCAATAATCTTTTTTCATCACTTTTTTCCGAGTGGTACTCAAAAACTCTGTTGGGTTTTAAAGTGTGTTTTTTCTTCCAAATTGTTCAAGTTTGCACGGCCATAACTTTTTAAATAGACAAAAATTTTAACTTTTTTTTTATAGCTTAAATCTGCATGCATTTTAAGTATACAAAAATTAAGTTAAATTTTAATTTCAAAAAACTAAATTTTTTACTCATATCCACCATTTAAACCACTGTGTACTCTTCTCTTGGTAACTTGAGACAGTGAGAATGTACTGCTTTTATCAGAGGCTGAACTTTCCAGAATTTTTTTGTTCCTTATTCTGGATTAGGATCGCAGCTGTAAATAGTGGTTTACAAACACATAACATCTGCCATGTTTCAAATATTTCTAGGTTAAAGTAATTAAAAAAATATGTGGATGGTGAAAGTAGGACATCTTCCATATTCAAATTATCCTGCCATTCTTAGCTGCTTTCAAATGCACTTTGAAGAGACCGCCACTTGATCTGTATCTTTTTTTCTCTTTTGTTCCCTCTGTTCACAGAAGTGCTGGGCTGATCATCTTCATCTTTCAATTTCATCCTCATTTTCATCAGTCAGCATATCAGCAACAGAAGGGTTAAAGGTCTCATCCCCAGAGTCATCAGAATCTAATAACTCTGAGTCATCAAGATGGTGCAACACATCTTCAACTGTAAACCGCCTGTGTGGATTATCTGAAAATATATTTAACACATTATACTTATTTAATTATCTTTGATTGCAAAATCAATTTGATAAAACTTAGTGCCATAATAAATATGGGATGCTTAGAACAGATGTTTGATTATACAAACACAAAAATGCACGGCACTAGCTTTAGTAGGTAGGCTTAAATAAATAAAATATTTTATTTTTAATGATTCTATTAAAACCTTTTGTTATGAAATTATCAGCTATACTATTAAATAAAACACATTTGATATCTGAGATTAAAATAAATGTAAATACACACATGCAATTATTAATACATGACAATTACACAAAAAGAAATCCAATGTTGAGTTTCACCTTACTATTTTTACTATCCTCTCATCTTGTTGCTATTGGCACACAATGTGTACACAACATTATAAAAATTATTCTACAGCAAAGAATATTACCTTTTTTTACCTAATACCTTTTTTATTTTTAACTTATGTTTATGCAATTATAAACATATTAAATACATCAGATACAAAATTTGGCTAGAGATAATTTATAATTCTCAAATAAAAATAAAGAAAAAACTTACTACGAAGAATTATTTTGCCTTGTGATGCAATGTTGAAATGTCTAGATACAGAAATCTTTCTCAAAGAAGGCAAACTACACAAAAATGGGACTGGTGTGCACAAATGTACACATCGTGTTTCAATTATTATTTTGCTAAAGTTTCACAGTGAAAAACGAACAAGGCAAAGTTTGCATGTTTGTACACATTGTGTATGAAATGGAAAAGACAACAACAGATAGCAACAGTTCTTACTTACAATACAGTAACAGTTCTTTACAATATGGAAATGTTAACAACATTTAATAAAATCACAATGCTCAGTGACTAAAATACTCTTAAATAAAAAAGTATTGTATGCAAGGTCACACATCAGTATGCATACTTGCAAGGTCACACATCAGTTTAACTTTTTTTCTAATTGAATGTTACTTATTAAACAATCTATACCTATTATTATATAGTATAAACTAAGTAAATATAATACACTTCTTTTTCTTTTAGTTTTTAGTGCAACTCTTTTAAAAAATTTATATGCTTTTGATTGATATAACAGCATGCTGAATATCTTGCTAAGTTATTTTTAAAAAACTTTTTTAGAATGTTTTTTAGTTTTTATATTTTTAACTTTTTTGATTTTTTACAAATTGCGCACCAAAAACCTTCACCTGGGTTTAACAAAAATTGCTATTTAAACATAATTAAAAGTTGCATGTACATTTATATGAGTAGTACATTATTATTATGTTATTTATCTTATGAATATTAATATTGATATTATGAGTGTTTAAAGATATTTATGCTATTGATATAATAATTATTATACATGATGTTGTTAATATGATCCATACTTTGTATCAAAGTATTGATCTAAATATCATATTGTAGTCAAACTGACCAATACAATATAAAAATTATTAAAGTATTGTCCCTGTTATACGCATATACTAAATGGTTTTTTTATCAACATTTTGCTTTGAATGCTCAAAAAAATGAACCAACAAAACATTTAATTAATAAATGGGAAGGATGAAGTATTACAAGAATATGGTCGGAGTTGACACTTATGAAAATTATTTTTTCATTACCACAGCACTGATTTTTGCTGAAATTTATTTTTCTGTTTTTTTTGGTAACACAATAGACTTGGTAAGTACCACCATCACCACCATAAACATCTGGTTGAGCTACGGTTAACAATAAAAAAATTTATAATATAAATAATTAAAAGTCTAATCTCAAGAGTGACAGCAATGCATTTAAATTTTTCTTTAGTATTTTTATTTGAAAGAAATTGATATTGTTACTTTTTAGGCTGCAAAAGCTGATTGTAGAGAACTTGTTGGATATATAGCAGTGTATCGTGTTTCTTTTGGTGCAGTTATGTTTTTTTTGTTGCTCACTGTAATAATGTTTGGAGTGAAATCATCAAAGGATCCTCGCTCTGGTATTCAAAATGGTTTTTGGGCTATCAAATTTTTTGTTTTAATTGGAATTATTGTTGGAGCTTTTTTTATACCAAGCAAGGATGGAAAATTTATTCAAGGTAATCTTTTCCTTGACTATTTAGTATGTTTTAGTATGTTTAGTATGTTTTTAGTATGTTTTAGTATGTTTTAGTATGTTTTAATATGTTTTAATATGTTTAGTATGTTTTAGTATGTTTTGTATGTTTTAGTATGTTTTAGTATGTTTTAGTACGTTTTAATATGTTTAGTATGTTTTAGTATGTTTAGTATGTTTTTAGTATGTTCTGCATATTTTTAGTATGTTTAGTATGTTTTTAGTATGTTTTGGTATCTTTTGTATACACATTTTTAATGGGCATTTACATTAAATAACTGTTTCATTGATGTTTTTTTTTTTATTAATTATTTGCTATAAAGGGAATTTATAATTTTAAAAAATGTAAAAAAGAATTAAAATTTATATACATTTTAATATAAAGTTATCAGAAAAATGCTTTTAAAAAGGAAAAAACTATGAACCTGTTATTTTCTTTTGTTACTTTTAACTTATGATCTGACATAAATTATTGAATTAACTAAATACTGATTATTTGTTGTTAATCAATTTTTTACATGATTAACATCAAAGAGATGATAATTGGCATCACAACTACTTTTTTAGAGTTTGTTGTTATTATTAGTGTGTTATATTTTAAAATACAACTTACTCTTAAATTTTAAATTTGACATTTTATTTAAAAAGGTTTTCAACTCAATACATATATATTTCTAATACTTCAGAAGGCATATATATATATATATATATATATATATATATATATATATATATATATATATATATATATATATATATATATACATAACTATAAATATAAACACACACACACACTCATGCATACACACAAACACACACACACATACATGCACACATTCACTCACACACACATACACGCACACACAGACACATATATTTATATCCTTTAACAATATGCAAATTCTCTTCAGTCTTAGAGCAATTGCACATAAACTTTTCTTATAATGAAAACATCTGTTATATTTTTTTTTGGTTTAAGTTTGTTTTTTTCTTCATAAATTTTACAAGATAAAATAACTAATTAATTTCTGAAAAAAAACTGCTGTTGTACAAGTTTTTGTTTATTAAGTAAAATGTATTTAAATTTTTTATTAAATAATAAATATAAAAATAAATGATATTCTTGTTCAACTTTTTTTATCAATTCTTTTTATTGAAAAGTAATCTTTTTTTATTAAAGTCAGAATGTTTTACATTTTTTATTTTTGTTTAACTGTATTCATATCCCCATGGCCAAAAGGGATACTATTGCTCAAAAGGCTACCTTTTTGTTTTTATCAATTGTTGTTGCAACCCTCTCTCAACCCTTAACTCTGAAACAGGAGCCTTGACTTTTGTTTATAATTTTGTTTCATTTTGGTTTATTTCATTTTTTTAAATAATGTTTTACTACAATGATTATTCATAAGTTACATAACACTTTACAAATTACATAAATTACATAACCGCAGTGGTTTAGTAATGGACATTTATTATGAGCACGCGTCAAATTTATCTCAAATGTTGGTAAACAATAATGTTCGCGAGTAAACAGAGATCTTTAAACATAAGGCGCGGCTATAAAAACATAGAGAATTATATATTTATATATTATATAATAAAAATTATATAATAATAATTGGTCATGTAATTTTGATTAATTTTATTATAATGCATGTATATATATATATATATATATATATATATATATATATATATATATATATATATATATATATATATATATATATATATGTATATATATATATATATATGTATATATATATATATATATATATATATATATATATATATATATATATATATATATATATATATATATATATATATATATATATATATATATATATATATATATATGTATATATAAAAGAGACTTTTAATGTAAAATTTTTTGCAGACCTCAAACACTTTAATGTTGAAAATTGAGGTCGGCATTGCCGAATGGTGACCCCAATTCCAAGGGTTGTATATATATATATATATATATATATATATATATATATATATATATATATATATATATAGTCTTGTATGGTAGTCAGAAAGTTTTTCCTATTAACTAAAGAGCGTGTTAATAAACCAGACCAGAAAAAGTTTGAAAACTTAAATAATTTTTTTTTTCCTTAAATGATAGACTAAGGATATATTTATATATATATATATATATATATATATATATATATATATATATATAGGCCTTGTTTTAAATATAAAAGTGCTTAATGCATTAGCTTAACGCGATTTTGACGTCATAAAATTATCTTTATTTTTTTTTATAGACGTTAAGTGTTTTAACTACCGCAATAAATAAATAACCGCAAACTAGTTCAATTTAACAATTAACTCAAATATAAACTATAAACGTTTTAAATATAAATTTATTATGAAAATTTTGTAATGTTTTCAATTGTTATTTTATTAATTTTAGTTCAATATTATTTAGTAATATATATATATATATATATATATATATATATATATATATATATATATATATATATATTATTTCTGAAATTTGTTTTTGAATAATTGTTTTTAATCGTTATTGAATAAAAAATAATAATGATTTTTTTTATTTTTAAAAATTTCTAGAGTAAACAAAAAATATTAACATTGAAAAACACAAACCCATGTTAATTATTTAAACAACAATTTTGTTTTGACTAGCAAAGAAAAATTTAAGTTTTTAAATATTTTTAAAATTTTTAAAAGCGTTTCAACTTGCGTTTTATAAAAATATAAAAAAGTTTAGTCTGCTTTGAGCATATTTTTGATACGTAGTTTAGAACGCGTTCGCTAGGAATTTAATTCATAAATTTTTTATGTTATTGTAAAAATATTTAACTTTTTAAACAAATCACAAAGAAACAGAGCTATAGAGAAAAATCGTTTTCAACAATTAAATCTTTTTTTTTTTAATTTTAGGAAATTAAAAAAAAAAATTAAATTAAATATAAAAGACTTAATTATGCAAACTCTTTTGTTAATTCTTCTTAAAACAAAAAAACAAATACTATTACGCCAAACTTTAATCGTGCAAACTTAAAAAAATACTCAACTGAAATAATTTAAGTATATTTAATAATTTGAATCGTATCTGTTTATAATAATTTTTCGTAAAAATTTGTTTATTAAAAATTAAGTTCCTTAACTTATAAACAAACTCAAAAGTATTTTCATTCTACGTATAATTACAAAACTTTTTTTTTTTTTTTCGTTTGTAAGCAATTTAATTTAATAAAAAAAAAAAAGAATAAATATGAGGTAATCTTTGTTAAGAATAAATTTAATTTATTTATTGAACTATATTTTTATTTTTAATTGTATATCAACTTAATTAAAATATAGTAACATGTTAAAATATTTTAACATGACTTGTATCATTTATAAACTGTTGGGCAGTTGCCCTTACGGCACTATTGCTTTTGGATATTATTTTATTTTGATGAAGATCACATAACTTACATTTGATTTTAATAACGTAAGTCTTTTCTTTTTCTGTGATCATCGCATCGGCAAAGTCCCAAGATTTAAAAGTTTTTAAAGTAAATCTTTTGTCCTTCAAAATGCAATCCATATTCGAACTTTAAACAATTTAGAGATAATAGAAATATACAAGGTTTTTATATACTAGTTTGTTTTGTTTGATAAAGAAAAATACATATTCATTAGTAAAAAATGGAGACTGTCATTAAACTAAAACGTGCCTTAGTATTTATTTAACGGAACCTGTAATGTGCACGTGCATAATAAAACCTCCGTTATATAAATATATTCAACGTAATATTAGTGTCATCAGCGGATGTTGTAGTCTACTCATGATTTCTTTACCTTGTAATATAACTTGATTTATGAAAAAAAAACTTATTGAATCGCACGCAGAAGAATTTTAACAAATTGTCTTCATTCAAATATTGCGAGTAACAGGTAATTTCTGTGCCAACCCCCTCCCTGTTACCGCTAATTTAAAAGTTAAAAAATGATAAAAAATAGCTTAACCAAAACAGCTCTACGCGTACGTAAAAAGCGCTTAAGGCGTACGTAAATCGCTCTAGGCGTAACGCTTTAAAACAAGGCCTGATATATATATATATATATATATATATATATATATATATATATATATATATATATATATATAAAACTAACATATTTCAAGTTTTTGTATAATTTTTATTCATTTGAGACCAGGCATGACCTAAATTTGAAATATTGATGATATCAAGGATCTGTTAAATGTTTAAAGTTCTTGAGGCACCTATAAAGATTAATTAAGCAAATTTAAAATCATGAAAATTTACAAAATTAAAGTCATTTTTTAACAGAAAGAAACCTAAAATAAAACAGTTGAAGTATTAGTATAGTAATGAAACGTTTTAAAAATATTCAATTAAAGGTAGCATGAATTAAAACTTGTAAATTTTTTAAGTGCTTTAACAAAAAAGTGCTTTTTAACCAAGTTGGAGACCTGCTTTTGTTCCTTGAATAAGTTCAAGTAATATTTTTGGCGTTTTGAGTTTAATGGTTAAAAATCTAGCAGCAATTTTTTTATCAATTGAACAACATTAAAGGGATCCCAAACTCCCAACACGTGTTGTGTTCATATTAAAGATAATGTTAAAAAAAAAGGTTTAAACCAAATTTTTTTGATTAAAAATAAATAATGAATGCATACCGTGAAAAACAAATGTTGTTGTTTTTGCCAAAGCTCGTCTTCTCCATTTTTTTCAACTACTCGGAGTCTTCAAATTATGTGTTGCAATCTACAGACTTTAGCATTTCCTTTGAAGCGCGTTTAAATCATAAGAGTTTTAGTATTTGACGTCACGGTAACAAGACTTTTAACAAAAGAAAAGTGTAATTAAACTAAGCTGCGTTTTTCTACTGTAGTATTTTTTTAACATACAGCAAAACAAATTTATTTGTATTATTTTTCCAAACATCGCAAAAAAAATTTTGTAAAAAGTAAAAACAATAAATTATTTTTATCTTTTAGGAGCAACTTATTTTTTACAGATATCTTAATAATCTTTAGATTTATATATCTTACTTACATTTCTTTAATTATTTAAATTAAAACAAATATTAAAGCTTAACTTACCTCATGATTTTCATTACCTCATGATTTTCAAGCTTAACTTATCTCATGATTTTCATACGAGTATTTTACATTATATAGAACGTTTTACATACGGTCTCTGTTTTTGCGCAAGAGAGCGCAGTATTATATATTCTGATTCTTAATTATTTTTATTTAAACAATGGGAACTATTTTCTAACTTTTCCGGTTATTTTTACGCTATGACAATTTTTTGTTTTTCCATTGAAAAAAAGTATTTATTAACAATTACTTTCATAAACTGACAGCATTAATTAGAGATATTTAATGTATTGTTATCTTTTTTTAATTCGAAATTTTTTTTGATCATGCTGATTTAATTTAAATTGCTAAATTTGCTGAATTGGATACGGATAATAAGGAAATACCATTTTATTTTATATTTGATTTTTGATAATGAAATTTTTAAAATGTCAGCAACTCCATACCAATTAGAACCTGTTAAGATTATGAGAAAAAAGTACAAGAATACATTAAACAATACAGTTGACAGTAGTATCATATATGAAAATTCGTGAAAGGATTTGTGAGATCCTGATTTTGCATTAAAAGTACAATTAATTGCAACACAAGTCGGCATTATAAATTTTGATTATAAGTTTACTGTTCAATATTTTATAACCATCAAATAAAAAACATGACGTTTGTGCATTTTTGCCCGTTATATACAACTAATATTTAACAAAAATACGGACAAATTATTATTAAATAATGCAATAATTAACACATTAATTAAAGACAATAATTCAAGATAGATGGTAATTTAAATTGTTAAAATGTCATAACGCGGATTAAAAAACATATTATATTTGGTATTTCCAAATTTGTGTTGTAATTGGCATTTGTCTCTTAACATGAAAAACTAAAAATTTTTAAAAACACAGTTAACTTTTATTTTAAATTTAATACAAATTTTCAAGCAATTTTCTCTTCCAATTCTCATTTATTCACAGAAAATTTACTATTAAACTTTTATTTCTCTCATCTAAAAAAAGAAAGAGTGAAGCAAAAAAATATATATATTCTATACAACTCTTATTCATTCAAAGTTTAATTGCGCGAAACTTTTCTTTCTCTTTTGTTCTACTCTTTTATAAAAAGAGTGCGCAATGAAAAAAAAACTTTTCTTTTTTAACATATAATTATAGTTTGAGATAAAATTAAATTAGAAATAAATCAACAATGAGCAAAGCAACGAACAGATTAATCTGGAACTATTTTGATATTTATGAAAATAATCAACATAAACACTATTACCAACAACAATTATCAAATAAACAACACAATCTCGCATAATTTTAGGGGCATTTTATTTTTATTGCTTAGTCGTTCTAAATAATAAGTAAATTTAGTTCAAGTTAATAATTCAATATTTACTGTTGCAATAGAATAAAGAAACGGTGTTTAATACTGAACTTTTTATTTAGTTATTTTTTTTTTTTTACCTACATTTGTTATAAAAAACATTAGAACCCCCGTCATTAAAATAATTTGTTTTAAATATATTTCGACGTGATTATTCAAACTAATTTTTTTCGTTTGACTTTCCGAACTTCATGCAAAGCAAATTGAAACGAAATATCGTCTAACCAAATAAATAAACTGTTATGAATTTTATACGGGTAATTAATGTAAAACAATTTTTGAGATAATAAATATTCATAATTTATAAACATTAAATATATGGCGCAATAACAATTTAAAGCAATGAACCAGCATAAAATATTTAAGGTTTTTAATATCTTTTTATATATTAAAAGTAGAAAAAAAAAACAAACTAAACAAATAATCAAAAAAACTTTGACTAAAAATAAATAAAAATATTTCCAGAGTTTTGTTAAAAGTCTACTGTGACGTCAAATACTAAAACTTTTATGAATTAAACGCGCTTCAAAGGAATTGCCAAAGTCTGTAGATTGCGACGCATAATTTGAAGACTCCAAGTAGTTGAAAAAAATGGACGAGCTTCGGCAAAAACAACAACATTTGTTTTTCACGGTATGCATTCATTATTTATTTTTAATCAAAAAAATTTGGTTCAAACCTTTTTTTTTAACATTATCTTTAATATGAACACAACATATGTTGGGAGTTTGGGATCCCTTTAAGTCCTTATAAAAATGCTCAACATGTAAGTCCTCATAAAAATGATGCGACTACATCTAATTAAGTCGATTTATGTACGGATTGATGCACTTATTCTATGAAACTTCAAAAATAAAAATAAATAATGAACATGACTATATATAAACAACAATTATATTTAAAAAACATAAAACTATTTAGAAATTAAAACTAAATAAAATTATTAAGACATTAAAATTAAACAGAAAATTTTCCAAATGAAGATTTAAACTTTCAACTCTGTCGGCTGCAAAGGTTCTGAAACCCTGTTGGCCGCGCCTCAAAATTGACAGTTTTCACATCAACAGAGGTATGCGAATATTACAATAATAAAAAAATAAAAGAATTTGAATGTTTTTTTGCGAACAAATATGATTTTTATTATGTAAACATTATTTGTATGCGTGTACAAATAATGACATGCGTATTTGACGCATGTACAAATAATGACGTTCGTACAAATAATGACATCCTAATAGTAATGTACAGTTCACAAAGTAAAATAAAATTACAAATAATATACAATTATTAATATGCCTTTTAATAACTTATATAATTGATAATAGTATTACACTTCAATTATTAGTGTATTATTGGTATTTTTATTATGAGTATTATACTAATACTAACGACAGTTAGTATTATATTAATACTAATACAAAAACAGGGCGTGTCGTTTAACAGGTATGATAAAACAATTATACTTACTATTTTCCGACTTGCCTTGTTTTTGTTTATAGCAATTTGTGCATCCAAATGCACAGCACGAAATAACCATAACTCTGCAATTTTTCAAAAAGAAGTAGTTGCTTTTAAAAATTTAACAGTTAAAATCAACAGTTAAAACTGGTAGAAATAATAGTGATAATAACATTAATAATAAAAAAAATAACATTAACAACAGTAGTAACATCAAAACAAACAAAAAAATACTATAAAAATAAATCAATATTAATTTTCAAACAACAATTGAATATGTATATATATATATATATATATATATATATATAATATATATATATATATATATATATATATATTCAATGTATAGTTACAATTATAAGTTACAATTATAGTAGTAGTGAGTAGTAATATAATGTAACAACTTTAAGATAAAATATGATGACCAATTATAAGATAAAATATAACAACCTATATTAAGATAAAATCATTTTATATTATTAATCAGCAAATTTGGAACTATTTGTATCTTGAGTTGGCAAATTTTTTTCCAATTCAGTCAGCAAAATGTGACATGGATTATTTATCTTCAGGCAAGTTAGGGAATTAGAGGACTTTTTTTTTTTAATTTTAAGGTAAAGTATAATTAATAATACCTTATATAAGATAAAATATGACAATCTATCATAAGATAAAATATGGCAATCTGTTATAAGGTAAAATATGACAACCTATCATAAGATAAATATGAAAATCTATAATAAGATAAAATATGGCAACTTGTCATAAGATAAAATAAAATATGACAAACTGTCATAGAATGAAAATAATATTAGAATAATAATGATTTGATAAACATTGAAAAATCAAATTAAAGAAAAAGTAAGTTAAATATTTTCACATACAAGATAATAATGGAATTATAAAACAAGATAAAAACCAAAGTTTGATTAAAAATGACACAAACAAAAATAAAACAAATAAGAATAACATTAACAAAAAATAAATACAAAAGGTTTTTATATTAACAACAATAACAAAAATAATTAGAGATTTTTGTATTATAACAAAATAAATTGCAAAACAAAGGAAAATAAAGATTTTGATTTTGATGTTTTGTTTGTTTTATGTTATAATAAAGCATCCACCTGTTCAAGTACAATTTAATCCTTGTTCAAACCTGTTATCAACCAAACCTTGATACTTTGATTTTTTTTATAAATGTTTAAAATTGATAACTAATGCTGATAAATATTTTTAATGGTTTTTGTTTAGCATGGATGTATATTGGTTTGATTGGAGCATTTCTCTTTATATTGCTTCAACTTATTCTTCTTGTTGACTTTGCGCATTCATGGAATGAAACCTGGGTAGAAAAAATGGAAGAATCAGATTCTAAATTTTGGGTTTTTGCACTTGCTGGCTCAACATTTTTAATGTATGCTGTCTCTTTAGCGGGGATCATTTGTATGTTTGTTTTCTTCACTAATTCTCCAACATCTAAATGTGGTACAGAAAAGTTTGTTGTAAGTTTTCAATTGGTAATGTCATGTGTGGTTTCTTTTATTGCTGTGACACCTGCTGTACAAAACAGACAACCTCAATCTGGTAAGAAAATCTAAATTTAATATGATAATAATTTTGTCACCAACAAGAAATTTGAATAAGTTTAGAGTTGCAACTAAAAAATACACACATGTATATACTGGGGCTATTCTAGACCGTTTTCGACAGCGTCAGCCAAAATTTTTTTCCTAGAATAGGCCCTTATATATATATATTTTAGCTACTCAATGTAGTTAAGGAGAGATTCGAAGAAAAATATAGTGTTTAGGCCCTTTTGTTTTCAAAAATACCATTTTATTTTTTGTGCGTTCTAATTGGTTTATTTTTATTTTAAATCTTGAAGCTCATTGTATTATTTTGTTTACAAATGTTCGATGATTTTATTATTGAATATTGAATATACAAGTTTCAAGTTTTAGCTTAATACTATGGGTCAGAAGTTATGTAAAAGCTGAAACGTTTCTTTTTGGTAATTTATTTAAACGACTATAAAAAATTATGGAAGTAAATTGCTATGAATAAAAATTAATGTGAAAACTTCGATTTTAACGTTTTTACTGTTTATGGAAAGATAAAATAAGAGATTTTTAGTCATTTATTGAATATTTTAGTACTATAAACAAGGAGACTTTTTACTTTCGAATAAAAGAGACATTGTTATATATATACAGGGTGGCCCATAAGTTTTGTCCCCCCCCCCCCTTGCATGACTTCAGTTAGTCTAGTAATCAGACAAAATATGTTTATACGCAAAGAGCACTATATTTCAATCATATTACAAGTCAGGTCATACAAAATGGCTGTTACAGTTTGTTAATAACTACTGTGTCCTCCATTGGCAGCACGAATTTACTGGACACGTTTTGGTAGTGATTCAACCAACAAACAGAGATAGTCACCAGTCACAGAAGACCACTTGTCTTTCACCCGTTCCACAAGTTCAACTCTATTTTTTGGCTTAGGAGCCTCAAAGATACTTTGTTGAAGCAAGTTCCATAAATGTTCAATTATATTAATATCTGGACTGTTCCCAGGCCACAATTCTTTTGGAATCATCGACAAAAAGTTTTTTGCACAAAGTTGCTGAACAATTTTTGCTGAGTGTGCAGGTGCACCATCTTGCTGAAAAAGAATCATATCTTGATTAAAAAACATTTTTCTCTTATCAGCAGTATCACTTTGATGGTTTCTTGTAGTAGCCTCAACATATTTTGGTAAAATGTGATTCATGTAATAATCAGCATTAACTGTCTGCTTCTCTGGCACAACAACCAATTCAGTCAATCCATACCATGACATACCACCACACACCATAATTTTCAATCCAAACTTAGGACGAACAGCTGGAGTGATCTTTGATTTGTCATCGGTCCGTATTTACATATTCTGACGATTTGGAACTGGAAATAACTCAACAGGGCTTTCGTCTGTCCACAGAACATGGCCTCGTTTTTGTCTACCAACATGGTCATCTTGAAGGTAACCATTTTGTTCCAACCAATCACAAAATTTCAAGCGATCATTTCGATTTTTTTCAGTCAATAGTGGTTTTATTGGTCTATGGTAAGCTACTTTACCCCATGGTTGATGTTGAACAAAACGTTGCACTGAAATTTGTTTTTTACGTGTAATGTATCGTTTAGAAAAGTTTAACTTTTTCGCACAACTTCTTGTTGATGAACCCCACTTGTCCTTCATTTCACTGGTTATTAACTTCTTTGATGCTGGTGACAACACAGTTGGACGACCACAGCGTTTCTTTTCATTAAAGTTTGTATTAACAGGTTTTCTCCAGTATCGCTGAACGCTTTTCTCACTGCAGCCAATTGCAGCAGCTACTTCAGCCTTAGACTTTCCTAATTTACCTAACTCAGCAATGCGTTTCTTCAGTGATGCTGTTAAATTTGATTTTCCAATAACTTTACCCATCTAAAAATACAGATGCAGATACAGAAAATATAGAAAATAGCACATTGTCCTCTTAACCTAAAGTGGACAAAACTTTTGGGCCTACTGGAGACAACAAAGAACTCAAATTGCCAAAAAAATAACCTCAAAGTAAGCTGGTTTAAAACTGAAATGTGTTAGACAGATGTAATTTAACAAAAATTAACAGAAAATCTTGCAATAAATACATTCACTACTTTTCTAGGTCTATTTTTATATAGCACAAATTTTTTTATAATTCGAATTTATAACTTTTACAAACCTCTGGTCAAGTGTAAAATCGAAATTTCTCAAACTTTTTCCACCTCGTAAAAGTAAACAACCTCTAGTAAACAACTTCCAAAGACATATCAATAAGATCGTATGTTGTCTTTTCTTTTTCAGTAAAAACGATGAGTAGTCATAACGGGTGGACAAAACTTATGGGCCACCCTGTATATATATATATATATATATATGTATATATATATATATATATATATATATATATATATATATATATATATATATATATATATATATATATATATATATATATATATATATATATATATATATATATATATATATATATATATATATATATATATATGTAAATAGCAGAATATAAATTTTTTAAAAGTAATTGTTTAAATATATATATATATATATATATATATTTTTTATTATATATATATATATTATATATATATATATATATATATTTTATTATATATATATATATATATATATATATATATATATATATATATATATATATATATATATATATATATATATATATATATATATATATATATATGTATATATATATATATATATATATATATATATAAATATATATATACACACTTACTAAAGCGTGTTTTGATAAGCATTTGCTCACTTTTTCTGCTTACCTAAAGCTATACTATTTTTTTTGAAAAAGAAGAAGAAAAAACGAAGAATGATGAATGAAACGATTGCTTCCCTATCCCAAACCCTCAGTCGATGTAGCAGAACTCCACTGCGAGTCAAGCTATTTGTCGGTCATTTGTATGTACTGAAGCCCCCAGCAGCAGGCTATTTCAGTATGAAGTCAGATTGCTTACAATAGTACGCAACACACACTATTTATATATATATATATATATATATATATATATATATATATATATATATATATATATATATATATATATATATATATATATATATATATACATACATACATATATATATATATATATATATATATATATATATATATATATATATATATATATATATATATATATATATATATATATATATATATATATATATATATATATATATATATATATGTATATATATATATATATATATATATATATATATATATATATATATATATATATATATATTTAAAGTTAGCTTCTAATTTTTATAAACTGTTAAAATAGTGTTTGTTAAAATAGTTAAAAAAATAGTGATTTTGATAATTTAATTTTGTTGTCTTTAGCAGGTATTTTTATCTAATATGCAGGGGTGGAGCCTTCGTTTATGTCTTACTTAAGTTGATAACTATCATAACCTGGTATTTTTAATTTTTGAGGGTATTTCTTCTAAATACTGAAAAAAAAAAAAATTTTGACTAATAAAACTGACTAATAAAATAAAATAATAAGAAATAAAAACTGTTTAATTAAAAATAAATTATTTAAAAAAAAAGTGAAATAAAAGATTAGGAAATTATATAATCAAATGTTAGTGTTATAAAACGTTAAAAACTATTAAAAAATAATATTATGTAAATTTTTTACATTTAGTTACAAAGAGATATTAAAAACTCTTTTTAAGATCATCATAAAATATTTTAATGAAAGTTCCATTAAAAATGGAGTCTTCCATTAAAATGAAGTCTTCCATTGCTTATTTGTAATATCATTAGTTAAATTAGTGGAATGTTTAAAACATGTTTTTAAAGTAATTTAATTTACTAAGACTTCTTATTTTAGAAAAAAATTTCCATGTGCATCATTGTTTTTTATTACATTAATTTTGTTTGACAAAGTTTAAATAAAAATTTATTTTTGTAATGAAAAACAAAAGGTATAATGTAATTAACAATTCCTATGCCCATCATGTTATTCAAAGTGTGACTAATATGTTTTAAAAAAATGATACATTAGCATTTTGAATTGAAAGAAAATGTAATTTGAAACTCATCTTGAATTGAGAAAAAAATGTGATTCAAAATGCAACTTTAACATTTTAATTTTTTTTTATACATTTGCATTTTGAATTGAAAAGAAAATTTAATTTTTAAATTAACCTAACAAAAATATGAAATGAAATATTATGTTGGTACACTGTTTAATAAAGCACCAGTAGACTATGCAAATTTTGCAGTCTAAAACTTAAACCTAAAACAAAAAATAAGCATAATGACTAAGCACATTACTAAATGTATGAAATGTTATCAAATAAAAAACAAATATTTAAATAAAATTCCTTTAAAACAGAAGAAAGTTTAAACTGGTTAAGTGATAGAAGAAGTCCTGAAAATTTACTCACTCAAAAAATGGAAACAGGAGACAAAATATGCTTGCTATCAGCTAGACTGCAAACTCCATTTGAGTCATTCTTTTGTACTTCCAACTCTTGTGGCAGCCAAAACAGCCCTACAACCTCAGGATGGAAACAATAAACAGAATAAAAGTTATTATTTTTTTTTAATCTAGTTCACTCCCTACAAAGCCATTAATAAGTTAGGAGTTACTAGAAAACATAGAATATAATTAAAGAACAAGGAAATGGTTGACAAAAGACCTAAAAAGCTAAAAGTTGTGAGAGAGTGAGAGAGTTTAAAAGGATTGAAGCGTAGGTAAAAAATTTGATTAATAAAAGTTTTTAAAGTATTCAGGGACAGATACAATAAAAAAATGTGACTTTGCTGAATGTCAAGTGAAGCGAGAATGAGTTTTAGTTAATGGAACTAGAGAAATATTCAAAGAATACCCATTGTTGAATACCCATTAGAGATGATTGTTTTTCATACAGGAACATTTAATAGATTTGTACATGTAGAGAATAGAATTAATAGTATAATAATGGCAAGCATGATAAAGAGAAGCAACCTTAGCTGACAATCAATTATAAATATAGTTTTCATGAGAGGCCAGTAGTAATGGTAATCAGAGAAGACATAGAGTAGAAGACTCAGTGAGAGTATTGTCATTCATTAATATGTTTTTGCAGTAAATAGCTGAGTGTAGTTGGAATTAAAATTCACAAGTAACTGCAAGCCCCCATGCTATTACAGAAGGGTGATTAGATTTAAGGTTATTTGGTTGTTTTAAGCTATCAAAAAGAGAAGACTTTTTGTCAAGACAGGAGTATAAATATGAGTGGTCAGCATATAAAACCATTTTAGATGTAAGATTGTCAGGAAGATTATAAATGTATGTAAGAAGCAATACAAGGCGAAGAAGGTATCCTAGAAATTACTTAAAAAGACAAAGAGTGTTTTAAGGGCAGGTGTTTTTGAATATTTCAACAAAAAATCTAAAATAATAAAGACCCACAAGTGAAAAATTAAAGACTCACAAGTGAAAAATTAAAAACCCGCAAGTTAAAAATTAAAGACCCACAAGCAAAAAATGCACATCTTTTAGTCAAACTTTTATAGTCAATTTAAGAATCATTTTTTTAAAAAAGCAACAAAACGTTCAAGTTGTTATATGTTACTTTTACTTACGTTACTTTTGTTAGACAACAAAAAGATGTTTTCCAAATAAGCTTGTCATTTCAGCTTGTGTAAAAAGTATTTCTAGCTTTTACTTCTCTCACCTATAATGTAAAATAAATGTAAATGCAAAGAACAAAATCTTTTTTAGATTAATAAGTTTTATTTTGTATTATTTTTGTAGAGTGCTTTAATGAAACAAAGATTTTTTTATGTGTAAAGGTTAATTTTTGTAAGCACTTCATCATCAAGTTTTCGAGCTCAAGTTTTAGCAGTCTGCAAACCTTTATTAGCAATCTTATACATTTTAGCTCATTCTCTTTTCGACAAGCTGGAATTTTGTGTAAATGATTGTTGAATACTAATTGCTGCTTTCTTATCTTTAAAGCCACTTTTTCTTCCAGATCCTTTTGCTTGTTCAATAGATAGAGAACTCTTGTATCGTTTTATGATCATAGAAACAGTAGTTTTGCTAAACTTAGATGCTTTAGCGATTTATAATAACAATTCAGAAAGATTTTATAAATAGTTGTATAGAATTTCGTTTTCATTTTTCTAACTATTTTGATAACATTTTAGTTTAGAGAAATGTTTTGACTCGTTGATGTTTGTTGAAGTTTTTAATTCAGACTATCATTACTTAATGTAATTACGTAAAAAATATAATTTTAAAATGTGTTAGTGACAAGTTTTCAAGTGAAATTCATCTTTCCAAATTTAGCAATTGTATGCTTTACAAAGATGATTTTAGGGGGAGGGTGTTTAAGGAAAGACGGTGTTCTATCCCCCCACAAAGAAGGTAATTTTCAAGTTATAGTCAGTTTTTTGACAAATTTAGTTGGCTAGTCAGGTATTTCACACAATTGGTCGGGTGAATTTTAGTTTTTAAGGACCATTTTTATTTTTATTTTAAAGAAACCAGTAGGTACTTTTACGGGTTTACTCCCTCCCCCCCCCCCCTCAAATTTTAGTTTATTGGTTTATAAAGTCCTAAGCAAAGTTTTAATTTATTGATTTATAAAGTCCTAAAGCCTTAGCAAAGTTGTGGCGAGTCAGACTCAAGTCTTAAAAGCATTTATTTAAACATAGTGATGGAATTTATGACCTCGAAATCATTAGTTTTTTATTTTTATTGCTAACTATATTTTAAAATAGTTTAAATTTAGCAACAAAAGTTTCTTTACTTTTTGCGGTTTATTAATCAATTTCTTTAAATCTAAAGTCTTTAAATCAAGAAAAAATCTTTTTATATATAATTTAATAGTTTTCAGTAACTTTTAGGCCAATTTAATAGATATTGAAAAATGCCCCATCATCTTTAGCAATGGGGGTGCACATTATGTTAAGCTTTAAGCAAAGCTTGCTTTGACAATTAACATCAATATGCTTAGCAATTAAAAGGATAAAATAGTTTTAGAAAATTTTGAAAACAAATTATCATAGTTGCTACTTAAAGTTATGATAAAACTCAACAAAATACCAAAAAAAGTGTTTTTCAAAGGGGGCTTTTTGTCCATAACAACCTCCTGAATAAGACATAAAATTTTACCCATTAATTATAAAATAACTTATCTTTTTTTCAAAATTTTCCAAAAATTTTGAAAAAAAGTCAGCAGAAGAATGAGAAGATTAAAAACCATATTGATTCTCAGAGAGAATTATTAGACTCAAAAAAGGTGTTTAAAATTTGATGATTAAGGATTCAAAAACTTTGCTCATACTGGAGAGAAAACCGATCTGATGAAAACTGATCATATGATAGTTGGAAAGGCCAAAGTCTTCTCCAGAATTTTTAGAAATTGAAACAAATGCCATTTTTATGCAGGCAGAAAAACAAGATTTAGTCAACCACTTATTAAGTAATTTAGAATCACAGAGAGTTCTGGATAACACTTTTTTAAGGCTATTACAGGAATGTTTTCTGTACCAGAATTCATAGAAGAGTTTAATTGAAAAATGACTTTAGTAAAAGAAGCTAGAGTGATTTGGATCTAATAATGGATTAAGCTGTTTAACTGGCAAGAAGAGTATGGCAGGTAAATTCAAGAATTGAATTAGAAGAAAAGTTCTTGGCAAATAGTTCTGCCTTATCCTTAAGAAAGGTAATAAGATCAGACCCATGTATTAGAGATGGAATGTTAGACAATGGAATGTTTAACTTACTTTTGTTAATGATACTGTAAAGATTTTCCAAAGGTCTCTAGTGCCTAACTTCTGAGATAAGATTTGAGATTTAGTTAATTGTGAATAATGGAGCTTAGCATCAGATTTTTTACATCTTTTTATATTGACTTTTTACTTTCAATAGTAAAAAGAGATTTGTTTCCAAGAGAGTTTTCTTGCTGTTTCTTTTAAGAGAGCTCTTATTAGTTTTACAATTATATTAATTGTACAATTTGAGAAGGCATGTTCATGAGAAGGTAAAAACCATTGAGTAGAATGAGACTTGATTTGAAACTGACAAAAAGTAATAAAAGTTTCCTTCCTGGATCCAGAATGTTAAGTAGGAGGCCTATTTATCAGCAGAGAGACCGTAGACATTAGCTCAAGGACTTCCACAAAGAAAATTATGAAAAGATTCCAGCTTTAAGTTAGTAGTAAGTAGTGCAACCAATTAAAATGGACTCCAATTAGAACCAACCAATTAGAACCAACCAATTAGAATTGATTCCAATTAGAACCAACCAATTAGAATGGACTCTTGAAACAACTACATTTAATAATTATCTATTCCCAGTTATGTCTAAAAACATTTTCTTTAATTTTTAGTTTTTCAGATATAAATATATATTTTTGCAAATTTGAATATATATTTTTACAAATTTAAATATATATTTTTGCAATATATTTGTTTTTTTAGCTTTATCATTCATTACGCATACAAAAATAAAAAAAGTTTCAAAAAAATTGATCAAGCCATTAGCTTGAAACTAAATTAAAAGAATATAAGAGAAATAAGTTCTGATTTTTTTTTTTTGCAAAATATTTTCCGAATTTTAGAAATATTTTATTATATTAGAGATATTATATTGCTATACATTTCCGAACAATTCACAACCCAGAAAAGTAAAATTGCCACATGTGTTTTCTCAGACAAAATGAATAATAAGCAAATAGTTTTTTATTTAGTTAATACTGATTGCATTGAATAATCTAGTAAAATAAAAAATAGTTTTTAATTAAAACCAGGATATTAAACATTACAGAATGAATCGCAAATGGATTTAGCATGTGCATGCAAGGCCAGCACGATAGGGGTGTGTGAGGGGGTGTAATACCCACTCCCCCATCAATGATTTTTAGTCGGCAAATTTGACCCTTAGTTGGCAAATTTGACCCTTTTTGACTAGTTAGTTGGCAAATGTAGACCCTGTAGATAGGTTAGTCGGTAAATTTAGACAGTCAGTCAGCAAATGTCGTCATGGCAGTCGGCAAATTTTCAAAAACGAGGACTTTTTTTTTTTTTAGTTGGCAAAAGTTGTAATGACACCCAAACCCCCCCCCCCCATGTGACACCTACTCGTGCCGGCCCTGTGTGCATGGTACTGGATGCTCATCAAGAAGTTTTAAAGACAAGTTATACATCAAATGCCTTGCAAAATGCAACCTGCATTTAAATTACTTTACCCTAATATCTCTTCTAATTCCTTACTTAAAACAGATTATAGCGTAACCTCAACTACCATTAAAGAAGTTGTCATAACTGCAGTGTAACAATTTTATGACTAGTGGAGATCGTGTAAGAAAAATGTAGTTTTAATTTGTAGGATGGTTTTGTTTAAAGTTTTATGCCCAGGAAGTCTCAAACCTTAAGATATTTTGAAATGTTATTATTATAACTAAATTTATTTAGTTATAATTATATTAAAAATTAATGTCTATTTTCTATTCTAACTTAATGTGTGTTAATTAGATGAGAAAGTTAAAAAGTAAATATATTACAAAAACATTTAAATTTTTATTTACAAAATCTATTGCTACTGTGCTTTTGTTGTCTTGTGAAATTTCAAAGTTTTATAGTATGAATCGCTATGTAGAAATGTTTTCATGCATGTCTTTAAAAAGTTGTTTTTCTCGTTAGCAAAATTGTGATAATAATTGTAATTTATTCAGGTTTACTTCAAGCTGCTGTCATTTCACTTTATACAACATATCTTGCATGGAGTGCTTTATCTTATTCAAGTTAGTAATTTGTTTATTATTTATTATTATATTTAATATTTTATTTGTTATACTTTCAAGTAATTTTTCATTGAAGTTTGGAGTTTCTAGTTATAATTTTCATTATGTGCCTATTACAATGGAGTGTTTAAAATGATTGAGTATGCATTAGTATTTAGTATGATTAAGTGCATTTTATTTTAAATAGCTACTTGCAACAAGCTTATTGCTGTTTCAAAGACTGATTTTGAACCAGATGTTGATGCACAGTCAGTGATTGGTGTTGTCATTACCTTTTTTCTTGTTATTTTTAATTGTGTTCGCACTTCTTCATCATCACAAGTTGGTAAATATTCATATTTATTCAAGTAATAATTTTAAATTTTGATTTAGTTATTATTTTATGAATTTAAATAAAGTACTTGTTTTCAATCTTCTTCAATCATTTGCTACATTTAAATTTACAATTAAAATTTCAATTTTCTGACTTCTAAATCTTTTCAAAATAATCTTTTCTGAAATTTATAGTTTTTTAGGCTTACCCAAAAAAGGTAAATAAAATAACTCATATTAAATTAAATAAGTAGAATGTTTAATCATGATTACTTAGAATATTTGGCTTGATAAATTTTTCTGTATAATAGGCAAACTTGGTCTCAAATATGGGAGCTCAGAGGAAAAAAATGAATTAGATATTCCTGAGGAGGCTAACAGTTCTCGTTCAGTGGGCGACAAAAATAAAGGCCAACACGTCTATGACGACGAAGACTCTATTGTGGCATACTCTTATTCATTTTTCCATATTATGATGATGCTTGCCACACTATATTTAATGATGACTATTACCAACTGGTACAAGTAAGTTGAAATTTTTTTAAATATTGTTTTTTGAGTAATTACAGCGATAAAAAAAAAAATTATTTTTTTTATTCTTTAAACGTTAAAAATCATTCAAAATTCAAATATTCAACATTAAATTCAAACCATTCAAGTGTAAATTTTACAAATTTGTATTTGGGGCTAAGACAATAATTTATTAGTTTTATTTTTTTATCACAATTCATTTTATGTGTAATAAGCTAATAAAATAATATCTCCGTGATCGGTTGAAATTTAGGCAAATTTAAATTAAGTTTCCATAAAAACCACTTAATCAATTGTAATGATTTTTTTTATAATGATGCTTACATAATTAGTTTTTTTGTGAGTGGAGGTAGTTTTGTTTACTTCTCATTAGTTTTTGTTGAGTAAAGAGTCTGAAACTTAAAATAAATTGTTTGAAATTTTACATCAACTTACGAATCCATTATTTTCATATTCTATGATTTTAAATGCATGTAAAGTTCGAAAATCAATTGTTGGAATTGTTGTAAAACATTATAAGGAGGAGAAAACTGTAAAAAGAAAATCAAGAAATGCAGGAAAATCAAGATTTATTTCCAAAAAGAAGACAAAATAATCCACTCAATTCATCGAAATTGGACTCAGTCACAAGATTTAGCTATTAAGTTTAGATGCAGTAGATCTTTTGTTCAAAGAATATTCAAAAAAAGAAAATCTGAATGTATATTACAAGAAAAAAATTATTTTATGCATTTGATAGCAATGAAACTTACTGTAAAAAGATCAACTTGATGCTTCTAGGTTTATTTCCAAAAAGAAGACAAAATAGATAATCAATACCATGCTCATAGATAATCAATACCATTATCAGTCTAAACATTATAAAGCTTCTGACAAATTTAAGTACATTTAAGTTAAAAAAATAAAGAAAACCAATAAATCAGATGTTTATGGAGTTGTAGAGCAAGGAAACGGACAGGAGAGTTGAAAAGTTGTAGTTTGTATGAGTCAGAAAAATATGAAGATGGGACCGAGTTTAGAAGAATTGGAGTGCAGGGAAAAGAACTAGGTGACTAAAAGTTTTTAGAGCATGCAGTCACATGAATGAGACTTTGCTGAATGGCGACTCAAGCAAGAATGAGCTTTAGGAATGGAATCCGGAGTAAGGTGAGAGGGTTGCCATCCATTAATATAGTTAAAATTTACAAGCCACTGCAAGTTCTAATCTGTTACAGAACTGAGATCAGATTCAAGATTGGGTGCTTTTTCTACATATTATGTAAACATCGCCATAAAAAATTCATTACAATTGCTTAAATAATTTTTTAAGAAAACTCAGTTTTAGTATTTTAACAAAAATAAAGAGTTCTAATATAAATGAGTATATTATGCTGTGGATATTTAGTCCATCATCTAATTTATTGGTTTTATCCGTTTTTATTGTAGATTATATTTCAAAAAGATTCTTTGGGTTTATAAATTTGCAATGTTTTAAGCCAAAAATAATAATTATTAAAGCAAAATATTGTATTAGGTTTTATTGTGTAAAAATATTGATTTAATTGATTTATTATTATACTTTGTATGATTTACTTTATTGATTTAAACAGTAAAATAATATTTTACAACCTGTATTACTCTAAAAAATGATATATATATATATATATATATATATATATATATATATATATATATATATATATATATATAATATATATATATATATATATATATATATATATATATATATATATATATATATATATATATATATATATATATATATATTGGTAGAAAATATATATATATCTACTATAGCATATTTATATGCGCAATTGCTCACTTTTTTTGCTAGCCTAATTTAAGTGAGCGTTTTTAGAAAACGATGAGGGAAAACGAAGAATAATGAATGAAAAGGTTGCTGACCCATACCAAACCCTCAGTCAATGTAGCAGCACTCCACGGCGAGTCAGGCTATTTGTCAGTCGAGATATGTACTGAAGCCCCCTGCAGCAGGCTATTTGACATTAGGTGAATATGACATCATCTTGCTCACCTAACTCAGCAGTATAAGATATATATGTATATATATATATATATATATATATATATATATATATATATATATATATATATATATATTCATATAAATTGTTGTTTTGTTAAAGGTATCAGAACTTTCGTAAATTATCACGGCCATGATAAAGTTTGCGCTGACCATGCTTTGTATCCCTGGCAACATATGGTTTCTTTTCACGTCATGTAGTGTCTTAAAATATTTTTAAAGTATATATATATATATATATATATATATATATATATATATATATATATATATATATATATATATATATATATATATATATATGTTTTGTAAGATGGTTTTGTTATTTTTAGTCAACTCTGGTGACTAAGATGGTTTTGTTGTTTTAAACGCACAAGCCAGACAACTTGTGTTTTCAAAACAACAAAACTAGAGCCTAATGTCTTGTGAAAAACTTCCTGCATCTAGCCAAAGCCAAAATATTTATAAGCATCTAATGCTTCATAATTACCTATAGCCTCAAAAAAAAACATTATAGGACTTTTTAATAAATAATTATAAACGTCATGGTATTGAACTCATGGCTATTCAGCTTGATCATCTTTCCAAGTATTTGCAAGGAACTTGTGTAAACATCGGTTGATTCCAAGGATTACAAATATATTCATACACCTTTCTGCGGCGTTAAAATCTAATTTTTCAAAGTATTCGTAAACCGATATTTCTTTTTTTAAACTCTTTAAATCACTTTTTTGTACTAATTTTCCTGCTTTATTAACTCAATTAATCGTTTTTTTTCCCCCATCCAAGATGGTAGCAACTTGCGCTATTGTTATTTTGCATAACCACGTGACTTTCCGACTGCGAGGATATTACTAGTTTATGAATAAAGGTTTTTCCTGAATTTAAACAATCTACAATGTACAGTTTATTACTTAATTACGCTAATTACTTAGGTTTATGAATAAAGGTTTTTCCTGAATTTAAACAATCTACAATGTACAGTTTATTACTTAATTACGCTAATTACTTAGGTTTATGAATAAAGGTTTTTCCTGAATTTAAACAATCTACAATGTACAGTTTATTACTTAATTACGCTAATTACTTAGGTTTATGAATAAAGGTTTTTCCTGAATTTAAACAATCTACAATGTACTGTTTAAATTGCCAGGAATTGCTGGTAACCTAAAAAAGATTTTAAATAATTTTGATTTTTTTTTTAAAAAAAAACTTAAAATTTAAAAAATTTGTTTAATTACTATTATCATCCCTAATATAAAAGAAACTTTAAATGAATTGCTTTAAATAACATTAATTCTTTAAAGTTTAAATAAATCAATAACTTTGAAACAATTGAATTGAAAAAGTTGAAGCTAATAACAACTTAATGACATTGTGGGGAATTATTAAACATTTCCCAGTGACACTAATGAATTCACTTGTTTGTTTATAGTTGTTTTATTTACATATGACTGCGAATCTATTATTTACAAATATCATCCATTTTTTATATAAAATTCAAAACCACAAAATATTATATTATTAACTTTAAAATTACGTTGGCGTAATTTTCCAGTATCTTTAAGAAGACCGCACCATTACAAATATATTAATGTAATTAACTTATCTTGAAGACATAATCCACAACACACTCCCCCGATTAAAGCTGAGACTTCGACTTTAATCAGCCATCTCGTTTTCCATGATGCAACTGATTTTTTGTCTTGCATCTAATTTCGCCCGTCTCTGTACTCTTTTTAGGGTTTCTACTTTTTTACCAATTTCCACGTTCTTTCATTGAGCACTCAACATCCAACAATACTTACTCTAATTCATTGAAACTAAGCATCCCTTTACCGATAGTTTTAGATAAGCTTTTCTTCATTATTCCAATCAATCTTTCAAACAAACCTCCCCACCAAGGAGCTCTTGATAGATTAAACCTCCATTTTATAGCTTGTGTATCAAGATAATTGGCAATATTCTCGTCGTTTTTAAGTGTAAGTAACCACTTCCCTGTTGCCACAAATGTTTTCGCATTGTCACTGATTATCATCTGAGGTGGTCCTTTCCTCGCGACAAATTCTTTTAAAACCCTCTTAAATTCTATTGCTGATAGGTCATGACAAAGTTTAAGATAGACGGCTCTAGTGCTTGCGCATGTAAACAGTGCAACACAGCATTTTTTAATCGAACTTTTTGGTACTTTATACTTTAACGGTCCGGCAAAATTAAGATCACTAACCGCAAATGGTTCCGCATTGTCAGTTCTAAAGCGCGGTAACATTGCTCCTGTTTGTGGTAACAGAGGCTTAACTCTGTACCTTTTACACAAATTGCAACCACGAATAACTTTTTTAACGGCCACTCTCAAATTCGGTATCCAGAATCTTTCTCTTATGCTACCCATGGTATCTCCGACTCCTTCGTGTAAGGTTTTGGTGTGATGGTGCTAAATAATTCGTAGAGTTAGTAAGAACCCTTTTGGTATAAATATTGGGCTATACCCGGTATCTCTTCCATGACACCTCCAAAGATTCTTTTCATCCTGTTTAAGTTCCACATCGGCTTTTAGCACAACAGATCCTTGTAGATGTTTAATATTGACCGTTTCGGCTTCTATCATCTCTTCCGTTTTTATTGGTCCGTAATCCAAAACAACATATGAGTTGTTGGAACTTTTTTTTATTGGAAGACGTAATCCACAACAACATATGAGTTGTTGGAACTTTGTTATTACGTGTTCCCACTAACTGAATAATAGTGGGATAACGATTGTTTTTTTTTGTGTGTATAATATTGTTTTTATTATTACAAAAAAGACCACATTTTTTATGACTGATAAACTACACCTTTATCTAAATTTTAAGATCATATTTTATTTTAGGCCTAGCGTTTCAAACTTGAACAAGTTAAGCAACTCAGATGCAGCTTTTTGGGTAAAGATTTCGTCTAGCTGGGTTTGCTTTGGAATTTATTTATGGACACTATGTGCTCCTGTTATATTCCCGGACCGCGATTTTAGTTAAAAACGCTCAATTTTTATTTACGTAAGGTAAATCACTTTTTTAAAAGTTTCGTTTTCAAAATAAGAAACAAAAATCGTAGTTTTGTATTTTTATTCAAACCAATTGTTAGTTTTTTAAATATTTTCTGAAATCGGTTTTTTCGCATATCTTTTTTTTTTTAATTGTTTACAATAAATTGTAAAAAATGTTACAATTATATTATAACCAATGTTAAATTTTATATGTTTTAATTTTATAGTTTTATATATATGGTAATAAAATATCAAAGTTTGTAATTAAATATTTACTTGATTAAACGCATTAAAGAAAAGATGTTAAAAAAAAGTTTCTCACAGAACTTTTATTTTAGTTTTATAGTACAAAAGCTAACTTGTAACTTTATATTTCGTTAAGAATAATATTTCTAAAATCTCTATTGTTAATTGTGCTAATACACAGTGCGACAGAGTGCGTCAAATATCTGCAAATTATTGTCAACGTTACATGTTTAAAGTTTTTCATAATGATGAACACATGTTTATAAGCAGAACTTATAACTTAATTTCTAATCTTTTGGCGCATTGTAACATGGTAATGGCTAAAGCCCTGAGTTTATAAGATTTAGTATAACATATTATATATGTAAATAATTTTAATAATCAAATAGAAAAAAATTAGTTGCAGAGTATATTTAGTAGTCATTAAAAAAACATACATGTTTAAAAAAATTGAATTATACATACAAAATATTAAGACCCATTACTGAAAGACGCAATACTGCAGAGGTAAAAAAAGAAAGTAAAACATTTGTTTCATGATATTTAAACTTGAAATAGCAACAACGCTACAGAAATATCATTTACATCAATTACATTGTTATAAACTAAAATTAAGTTAAAAAAACTGCAGACATGATAAAACCTAGGAGAGGTTACAGATATCCTCTCCAACTTTTTTATAACAATTGATGGTAATGGTATTTATCTGTTTTTAATTTTTCTTAAAATATTTTGCCTTTGATAATTTTTTTCTTAAAAACAAATTTTTTATATTTCAATCAATAGCTTTTCATTTTGTTTCTCTTTGTTGCTCGTTGCACTTTTTACTCTTTAAAATTTGATTTAAATTCATAAATTTCCAGGTATAGTAAAGGGGTTTGTTTTACTCATGTTTATTTGACACAATTCGTGTGGGGTATGTTTCATTCATCGGTTTTTGAAACAAACACTTTAGCATTCGAATCAACTTTGATTAAAAATAGAAAAATTTCGCACAAGCAAACAGCCAAACGGTTCAAAAAAGCATTTCTTTTTAAAAAAATGTATATATTAAAAAAATAAGAAGGATGAGAAAATGGCTGCTAATGTGTATAAATGTATTTTAGTAGTTTTAAGAAATCTTTTTTGTATTAATATTTGTTTAGGTATCTAAAATCTAAAATTGGTTTAGATATCTGCAAAAATAATTCATTACTAATAAATGACTGCTAATAAACTAACAAAATATTGTATTAAAAAAAATCCGTATAAATTTTAGTTATGTTTATTTGTTCTCTCAGCAGAGTGTTCTAAATTTTATGCGAGGCCTAAATTTTTACTTTTTTAGTTAAAAAAAAGCGGAGGAGTTTTATTTGTTTACTTACTAATTCATTTTTATTGAGGTTTGTAACAAAACGACACAATGTTTGTTTTTAAAATCGAATCTAATGGAAAAAACTTGCAATCGACATTTTTATACTCTTCCGGAACTCGATATAAAAATTACATACAACAAAGAAACATGCCATGATTTTATTAGCCAAACATTGGAAACAGAATCCAAGGAAATACGCAAGGTCCGTACCTCAAGTTTTTTTAAACTGCAAGATCAAGATACTTCAAAAACCTTAACCAAAAATGTCGACGTAGGCAAATTTATTATTGCACACAGAGACGTACCTAAAAAATTGATTGGTAACCCATTAAATGAATTTGATTTTAAAAATTTTGAAAACGAAAAAAAAACTAAAAGTAAACGCGAAACAAAGAATCAAACAGAAGAGCATGTAACTTATAAAAATACATATCCATTAGATCCTGTTTACCCTTTAATTGAAAGTAAAGTGATGCAGATAATCAAAAATGAAATAGCCCGGTTAAAAGAAGTATCATGGACAAGTCCCGGTCATTTGTGTTTAGAATTATCAAATTGCATAAAAAATAAACTCAAAGTTCAAAAGTTTTCTAGATACAAATACATAGTAACAACAACTTTTGGAGATGTATTAGATCAGGGATTTAAAATAGCAAGTCTGTTTTTCTGGGATGCTCAGCGAGACAATTATATATCGGAAACATTTTTTAATTCACGACACTTTATCACAGTTTGTGTTTATGCAGTTTATTTTGATTAGTTATGCAAAAATATAAAACAGCAAAAATATAGTACTGGTATGGTTTGTGAAAAATGGAACGTATTTTAGTGTATTTTTTATTAAAGAATTTAAATACCTTTTAAATTTGTAATATGAAAAAAATAATCCTTTTTAAATCAACATGTTCGGTATTTTTTTTGGTATTCAATTTGTTAAATTGAATACCGTGAGGTATGAATTGCGTACCATATTGAATATCTTACGGTATTCAATTCAGTATTTTATTGGATAATTTTTGCATTTCATCAAAACTTAAAAAAAATAATACAAAAAGATTACTTGTTTAGTATTATTTGTTGTAGCCGTAAATTTACATATAGTATATACATTCAGCGAGCATTGAAAACACCCCGAATTTTTTCCACAACCAGAATCTTTACAATAGATGTTTTTAAACACACAACTGCAACACAATTCTTTACTATAAATATTTTTAAACATATAACTGCTAAACAATTCTTTACAAGAAACTCATACTAAAGATTATTGCTTTGATGATTGCAATTTTCTTGAGTGCATAACTCCATCTTTTTTAACTATAGGCCATAATATGATCTATAGTTATGCTGGGTTTTAAAAGATAGTTTAGTTATATTTAGTTTTCCATTGTGTACATTTCTAGTAGTGTAGAAATTTTTACTTTTTGTGAAGAAGTTTGTTATGGAAGATGGTAAGTTTTTACTTATGGAGTCAAAAACAAAAAGAAGATTAGCATACTTTACTAACAATGATGATGCTGCTATTATATACTATATAATCTCTGATTATATATTATATAATCTCTCATCATAGCAGCATCCTGTCGTCCAAAAAAATTTGATGTGTGCCACATGTGTCATTTAATGATATCCAAACTCGATAGAGGAATTTCAAATAGAGGAAACACGAGATGAGTTCTTGTTAAGCTTTTTCTCCAAAATCTAAGGTTTTTACATACTGTTTTACCAACCCTAGTTTGATATGAAGTAGAGGTAGTAAGACTTAGTTAGAATCTACTAAAGTCCAGTAACGGATCCAGGGTGGATGGGGTGGGGGGTGGGGTGGGTAATAAGGGTGTGCTTTCCCCCACCCCCACCCCACCCTTAGAATCTGAAAGTCCGAAATAATCTTAGAAATGGAAAACCTTCTTTCTTAGGAGACGCAAATGTGATATAAATTTTAAAAAATATTTTAAAATCATCCTCCGCCACAACCACTACCAAAAATTCATCTTGAAGTCACATCCCACTCGAATTCAAAATAGCTAACTTTTTATGAAGTTTGAAGACATTATCATAGTTTCCTTTCTTTCATACCGAGAGTGTAAGAGGTAATTATGAATATTTATTTTTTTGTTGGGTAACATTGCTTTGAAACTTCGTTTCAAGCTATCTATGAGAAGTATTTCTTGTCCAGGATCATGCTCGAGTCAAAGAGAAGTTAAAAAATTAGTCTTTACAATAATACAGATTAATATACAAGTCATTGTAGGTTTCAATTGTAGTAAGTTTAATTTTTTTGACATCTTTTTTTAGCTATTATGAGAAGAACAAATTGTATAATGTGTTGAATTAACCAGTCAACACATTATATAATCTGTGTTAGACATCAGCACGTATATAATCTGTATTAGTTACGTATTTAGTGTAGCTTAAGATGTTTATAAAACAAATTACTCGGTCTTGAGCGCAAACTTTAAATGCGTATTTGATAACATGTTTGTAAAACAAACTATTAAAAAAATTGTTCATTAGCATTTTCATTTCTGTGCGTGATTTTTTATTTTTCTTTGTTTTAACAATTAGAAGCTAGGACTTATGGTAATAAACTATTATAATTATCTTGAAGAACAATAATAGCAAAAGTATTTTTATCATATTTTAGGCTACCTGAATTTTTAAATATACGTTTTGTTAACATTTTATATTTTTTATGTGTTTATTTCGCAATAGTTTTGAAAAATATACAATGAAAAAACTAAATAAACGCTATACTTCAGCTCAAAATATTTGATGATTACTATTTCTCATTGAAAATATATTAAATATGAGTTGTAGAGATATAGTATTTCACTTAAAATACCCACAAGCAATTTGTTTTCATAAAAACAAGTAGGGTAAACTAATGTTATTTTGCCGTTCACTCAATCTCACCACTTATCTTTGATTGCTTATAAGTCAGTGAACACACCACTAAGTCATATATTGTAAATTATATTGTAAATTATCACTACAATTACACAAAGATTCTTTTTTGAAAGGCTCATTCTTAAACAGAGGTTTCAAAAAGTTAAAATACAACTCATCTTTATGATGGAGTCACTCCTTTAACTTTTGAAAGTTGTGCAAATGATATTTGTCAAATGAAACAGCTAGCAACAAATAATGTTTCTTTAACCTTTTTCATTAATACTAATCATTCAACTGATCAGTCAGTCGTCGTTAAGAAACAGGGTAAAATCATGAAATGGAATGAAGAAATATGATAAGTGCAATTAACCATGTCAGATCAAAGTCATCATTTTCAATGCATAAGGAAGCAATGTACCACGTATAACACTGAGAGACTAGGTCTCTGGGAAAATTTCTATTGGAGCAAAGCCAGGAAGAAAAGCTACTCTAATATTTGCCCTGGAAAAAGAATTTATTGATTATGTAAGCAACAGGGCAAAATCAGGGGTAGATTTTTGAAAGTCAGAGCTCTTAAATTTTGCCGGAAAACTTGCCAGAAAGTATAAACTAAATTTCAAGTAGAGACTTCCAAGCAACCAGTGGCGATCTTTGATTAAGCACCGACATGGGCATAGATTTACTCTGCAACAACCTGAGGGCACAGCCTGATATTCAGGTTATTCTAAGTGATGCATATTTCCCAAAATATCTACACTCAGTGAGGATATTTTAGTTAATTAAACCGTTGATAACATTTCAATAATTGGTACTAGCTATAACTATGAGACATAGATTAGCATAAATGAGATATAGATTAGCATAAATAAGACATAGATTAGCATAAATGAGACATAGATTAACATAAATGAGACATTTTTGATGTAAATAATTATTTCAATTTTATTGAGCTAAAGGAAAATGAGATAAAACACCAAAATTGAATTCTGTTACGATTTCAAGTTTTTCATTTGTAAATTCTTCTTACCCTGGTAAAAAAATTATTTTATGAAGCCATCATTAGCTTCATATTAAAATTGCAACTTTTAGTAAGTCAAACAATTTAAAAATGAATTATAACGATTATTACTGTTCAGGGATCTTAATTTATCTGACTTTAAATGTTTCTTTTAAAGTAAGTTTAATGAAAAAAATATATATATTTATATCATAAAATTTAAGTGATGTTAAAAATTCATCCTGTAATTATGTTAATTTTGAAATTTTATATTATTTTTTTTTTATTCAATAATTTTTGTTTAAGTGATTCTAAACCATTTTAACCGTTGTTAGCATTTCAACACTTCTTAATTATTTTCTATTTTGAATTTCTTAATTTTCTTAGTTATTTTCAGTTAAAATTCTGATTTATGTTTTTATATATATTTGTATGTTACGGCTATGCAGAATTTTTTTTTATATATGATGCTCGGCAATAAGGCAAACTTCTTCTTGCTCCAGCCATTAATTTCTATATATTAGAAGTGAACGTGCAGACAAGTCCACTCCTAACATTTTACCAGACAAGTCCACTCCTAACATTTTACGTGCATTTAGTGACCCAAGCATTGTGGACATGTTCTACGCGTCTTAAAATAGGTCAGACGTGCATAATCAGACAGGTCCTAAAGATAAAACGTGATAAAAATTGTTGATTTCTGCAGAATCAGACAAGTCCTTTCCTTGATTCCATTTTTAGACTTGCAAAACCAGACGGATTACGAACGAGTAATGAACGAGTATTGACCAATCACAGCGCATTATTATTACGTCATTTTGCTAAATATAGCAACACAGTCAACGATAACAACTTTTAAAATGGATGCGCATATTGCAAATGCTAATATTAACAATATTGATAATTTTTATTTTTAAATTTGTTATTTAGGCGCCCCAAGAAGACCTTACGGTCTTGTCACAGAGCACCGTGGAAGTCCATTTAACCAAGAAGTTCATGCCTCCTTCCTTACCGTGACGCAAAAATATGTCCAGAGCTCGTTTCGAACCTGGATCTCTTGCTTCTAAATAAGCGCTCAAACCACTGCGCCACAGCCTCTATGAGGGTGAGGAACCATTTGCGGTGAATTAGGGGTCCATAAAACAGAAAAGTACTGGTGGAAATTGGTTAAAAGGAAAATTGAGAAAGTATGCAACTTTTATCATGATATAAAATGAATAGTATTTTACACTAATTTTGTTTACGCTAATCGACCCAATTTGCAAGGTGGTTATATCTTGCTATGGCCGAGGGTCAGAATGCCAATAAATGCTCTGTTTTTGGATGTTCACTTGTTCACCATGATGATGTTTTGTTATTCCGTCGTGAGTTTTTCAAAACAAATATTAAGTTGCAGCAGGACAAACACATTCTACTAAATGTCAAAGTGACCAGTGCCAAAAGAACGCGGACAAGATTTTGCGAAAGGGTATTTAACAAGATGTGCTACTGAAGGCCGTGGTGGGGATCGTATAGGTGACAAGAACAAATCTGGAAAAATGAGTGTTTGCCAATTTATCAAAAAACTGTAAGTTTATATTTACAAATTAAATTGAAAAACATAACCAATTTATGCTAAATCTACAATTCAACCATCTCAGCTTCAGACCTAAAAGTTAGATATAGTTTTTTCAGTAGGATTTTAAGACAAAAATTCAATTTAGAACTTTCCTCACCTGTTTGTGATACCTGTACAATTTTTGACAGCTTTAGAAATCAGCTACGAGTATGCCAAACAAAAGATAAAGTTGTTTTTCTAATGCAACTGAGAGTGCACAAATTACGAGCAAAAATATTTTATGCATCACTTAAGAACATACTAGAAAAGATATACATTATCTTATTTGATTTGCAGCAAGTTTAATCCTTACCAAGCATGACGTGTCAGGAAGCATTTTATTCTCGTCAGTTATCGTTATACTACTTTGGGTTTCATGATCAGGTATCTCTTAAGAATTATTCATATACGTGGATGA